TGCAAAGATAGGTGAGGGCAAAACCGTAAAGGTTTGCTACCTGGATTTTAGCAAGGCTTTTGATTCAGTAAATCATCGCCTGCTGTTGACAAAGTGTGGTGATCGTGTAACGAGTACGCACGCACCGCGGTACAGTTTCCAGGTAACCAATCAAGAAGCGGGATAACCGACCAACCCTGTGGTCTCAATTGGCATCATCCGGATTGGTTGAGTGCAAGAAGGCAAACAGATAAATCATATCCTTGTTGATTGAACATTCAAGAATCGACTGTATCCACAGTCCGTCCTGGTTCTACCTGACTTTGCGCTATTCAGTGGGTTTTCAGTCCGATACCGAGTTCGCGCTAGTCGATTTCGATTCCTATTCTGAATACTACACAAAGTTAGAACGATTCGGATTCCATGGGCAGTTGCACAGGTGGATACGTGCCTTTCTCTCACAACGATCATTCTATGTGACGGTTGGTGAGAATAGGTCAACACCAGTTCAGCTGACTAGCAGAATTCCGCAAGGCTCAGTATTAGGACCGCTCCTATTCCTTCTCTACATAAAAGACTTGCCAAACACTCGGACATCGTCATGCTACATTTTCGCAGATGACGTCAAAGTGGTTGGTTCGAATGGGGGAAGTGATCTGGAACGGGATTTAGAACAGGTAGCTAGATGGGCCAAGGAATGAGACCTAAGCCTTAACGCCACCAAGAGTTATGTGCTCACAGGGACGCTTTACGGACTGCAGGTTCACTCAGATGAGCGCGAGTTCGCCACTGAACCTACAACTAGGGTAAAGGACTTGAGGGTAGTAGTATCGAATAATTTTAAGTGATCTGACCAGTGTGCAGTAGCAGCGTGTAATGCTAGGGGGGTTTTAGACTACGGTCCGTCCAATCATCCAGACGACCGGAAGTCTTCATTCCAGTTTACAAAGCCATAGTCAGGCCACATCTAGAGTATTGTGTACAGGCTTAGGCACCCTTATTCAAGAAGGATGCTACCTGTTTAGAGAAAGTTCAGAGATTGGCCACCCGAATGGTTGAAAGCCAAAGGGGAGAACATATGAGGAAAGACTAGAGGCTCTAGGGCTTTTCTCATTAGAAAGAAGGAGACTGCGAGGGGACCTGATAGAAACCTTCAAAATCATGAAGAGAATATTGGGGATAGGAGCGGACACTCTTCACATTAGCTCTCCAACACGGCACCAAGGGTCATGAGTTGAAGCTCATGAAGCAAAGATGTCGACTAAACATGCGAAAGCACTTTTTCAATGATAGGATAGTCGGCAGCTGGAACCGGCTTCCCCAGAAAACAGTCGACCTTCAAGTAGTGCAGGCCTTTAAGACTGCACTTGACAAGCGATGGGTAGAACCATTTCCATCTCTGGCAAGGTAGACGAGTGTAGGTGTGCCAAATGCTCAGGATGCCATTTCCTTTCTTCACTGGTGAAAGTATTGGAACGCTCAAGTCTAACAATTCACTCGCCAACTTGGTGAGATGAGATCTTATTTCTCATTTTCATTTCAGCAGTACTGGATGCCCACTCAGTGAGCATACTATTGAAGGAATTCTGGACGCTCCATTGGCTTTGGCCATATTCAGTTCTGTGCAACCTGACACTCACCTTGCGGTACGTTAGCGCGCGGTTTAAAATGTTGAAGTTCTTTGGTTGAAAATACGTTTGGCACTAGTTCATTGGAATATCTTACGATATTCCACTTTTTACTGGCAGGAAATCTGTCTAAGCATTTGTCTAGCGTATTTGCTATGACCTCTTAGAAGGCTGCATTACACATACAGTGGTAGTTTTCTCACCGTAAATTGTCACTGCAGTGCGTTAAGAAAGCACGGTAAAGCGGAATATACAGTCCGTTTTGCTATTTTACTTTTAAACGAAAGCTCGATAGTAAAATATCTAGCTTCAGTTATACCGTTTTTGGAAGGTGTTTGCAAACTAGCTCTGTAAACCGTTTTTCAGTAACTACTCACGCACTTTTCACGTTTGGTGTCATACAGTAAATTCGGTGTCCTATATTTATCAGTTTCACTTGCATTGCGCATTTTTTGTTCAAAATCTGCCACGTATCAACTTCCCGTGTCTGTATGAAGTTTGCGGGGAAAATGTGCTAAGTGGCATAATGTGCGACGCATGTGAAAAATGGGCTCACCAAAGTTGTACAGCGGTCTCTACGGAGATCTATGCTCTGTACAGTAAACAATGGACTTGAATGGGTGTGCAACGGTTGCAAAACGATCGCTTGCCAGCATATAGCCCAAAGTGCTGTCCCCGGAAAGTCACCAAGACTGACGGAGACAAAACGAGGGGAAGATACGGATGAAATGACTGCAGAGGTGGCAGCCAAAACGCATGCCGAGGTGGTGAAAAAATCACCCAGCAAACCTGCTCCAGGAGCACGGAATTCGCAACCAAAGGCTAAAACTGTCAAATCTAAGCCGAAGACAGTAAATCCGCGCATCGCCAAGGGAGCCCAGGGTATTCTGGATAACAGCCTGCACCACATCGAGAGTGAACTGTACAAGTTACGTGCTGAAGTAGCCTCGATCAAGGCTGTCAGGGTCAATAGAACTTCTCGGTGCAACACGCTACTGGTCCTCAATAAAGGGGAACCAATAAGCAGGGAGTCTAAAACTCGCCCAATTCCCAATTCCGGAAAAGTTAGTTATGCTATGCACTAATGCATGCAGCATCCGGAATAAGTGGGCAGAGCTAGGAGTAACATCTGAGGAACTCAAAGCTGCAGTGTTTGTTGTCTCTGAAACGTGGTTAAGTGAAAGCGACCACATACCACAGACCATTGCAAACAGCTTTGAAATCCACAGACAGGATCGACGGGGACAAGTTCAAGGCGGAGGAGTGGCGCTTCTCATTCGCAAAGAAACTCCCCACAGTAGACTAGACACAGAAGTCTGCGCTCCCAATATACAAATGGGGGCTCTCTCACTCCTTTCTAGGCCCAACAGCGCCACCATAGCCGGTGCTTACAGAAGTCCGGGAGCCATCATGAAAGAAGATGGGCAACTAATCAGGGCGCTGGATGTACTAGCACAGTCCCAGCAGAAACTGGTCATTGCTGGGGACTTCAACCTTCCCGGCATCCAGTGGACAACAGAGACCTGCTCGAAGAGTGCATCAGAGGAAAGGTTCCTGGAATGGATACACTCAAGAGCCCTCCTGCAACATGTGAGGCAAAACACCAGATTCAGGACTGAGCAGAATCCACCTCTCCCAGATTTGGTGTTTACTAGATACCAAAAGGAGGTAGAATACATCTCTTTTCACCCACCTATGGGGAAAAGTGACCACCTAGTGATAAAAGTGACTCTCAATGCAAGGGAATCCAAAGCGCCTAGCCGGAAAATCAGGAACTTCAGCAGAATGGACATAAGTAGCCTGCAGGCACGAGCCTTAACTCTAGAATGGGGAGCAGAAAATGATCGGCTTACAGTCGAGGCTCTCTGGGATAGAATGAAGAGTAACCTACAGGAACTTCAAGATGAGTTCGTTCCTCCTAAAATAGGGAAAGCTTGTAATAAGCCCCTATGGTGGTCTCCGGCAATACGCAGAGCACTAAGGAAAAGAAACAGATACTGGAGGTACTACAGAGAGGTCAACACCCAGCTGGCGTGGGCAAACTATACGGTCCAAAGAAATAGGACAGGCAGTCTCATAAGAGTAGAAAAGAGAAAATATGAACTTAAGTTAGCGGAAAATGTAAAGCAGAAACCGAAAAGGTTTTTCAGATATGTTCAAT